GCAGTGTCACTGGCCCTCATATGTGGGATCCGAACCGGGGCCCTCTGGCATCCCAAGCCAGCTCCTAACCAATGTGCCACTTGGGCGGCCCTATTTTTTATTTTTTTTGGTAATAGCCATCTATTATCAGTCGATGTGAGGTATCTCATTATAGTTTTGCATTTCCCTAATTATCAGTGATGTTGAACATCTTTTCATGTACTTAGCAGCCATCTGTATGGAGAAATGTCTGTTCAAGTTCTTTGCCCATTTTTAAATTGTGTTTCTTTTTTGGTGTTGAATTGTTCTCTGCATATTTCTGGATATTAATCTCTTAGGAAATACGTGATTTGGAAGTATTTTCTCCCATTGTGTGGGTGGCCTTTTTACTCTGTTGATGCTGTCTTTTGAGGTACAAAATTATAAAATTTGCATGAAGTACAGTTTGTTCATTTTTTCTTGTATTGCCTGCGCATTTGGGGTCATATACAAGAAATCATTGCCCAATCCAATGTTGTGAAGCTTTTGTCCTGTATTTTCTTCTAAGAGTTTTATTATTTTAGGTCTTATGTTTAGGTCCTTGATTCGTTTTTAGTTAATTTTTACAGATGGTGTTAGGTAAGGGTCCAACTTCATTCTTTTGCATGTGGATATCTAATTTTTCCAGCACCATTTGTTGAAAAGATCGTCCTTTCCCCATTGAATGGTCTTGGCACCACTGTCAAAAATCATTTGACTATACGTGCAAGGGTTTATTTCTGGGCTCTATTCTATTCCATTGGTCTATATACCTGTCTTTGTGTTAATACCACACTGTTTTGATGACTGTAGCTTTGTAGTTACTTTTGAAATCAGGAATACATTTTTCAAGATTGTTTTGGCTATTTGGGGTCCCTTGAGATTCCTTCCATATGAATTTTCGAATGGGTTTTTCTGTTACTGCAATGTAGGGTTTTCTACATTTAAGGTAATACCTGATAACTATTCTTCCTTTCTAATTTGGATGCCTTTTATTGCTTTTTCTTGTGTAATTGCTCTGGCTAGAACTTCCAGCACTGAGTTGAATGGAAGTGGCGAAGTGGTCATCCTTGTTCTTCTTGATCTAAAGGAAAAGCTTTCAGTCTTTCACCATTGAGTATGTTTTTGTTTTTCTTTTTTTTTTGGGGGGGGGTTCTTTTTCTCTTTTTTGGCACAGGTGTGGCAGTCATGGACTGAGATACCTTTATTGCAGATATTAGTATGATAAGCACCCCCAAAGAGAGGTACATATAAATTTCTGAGGAAACACAGGAGAGGGAATAAGTCTGACCAAAGTATCATTTGAACTAGTTTTTGGCTAAGAGGATTTTGTCAGGTAGGGATGGTGGAAAGAGCATTCTGGACTTTCCCAAAGCTGTGGCGTCAGAGAAAGCATGGGAGCTCTGAGCCCCTACCCCATACCGTGCCTCATGCATCTCTTCCATTTGGCTGTTCCTGATTTGCATCCTTTGTGATAAATGGGTAATAGTAAGTAAAATGTTTTCCTCAGACCTGTGAGCTGGTCTAACAAATTATTAGACCTGAGGAGGGGTTTTGTGGGAACCACTGATTTATAACTAGTTGGTCAGAAATGCAGGTGGCAACCTGGGACTTGTGACTGACATCTGAGATAGGGGTAGTCTTATGGGACAAACCTGTGGGGTCTGTGCTAACTCCAGGTAGACAGAGTTAGAACTGAACTGGACTGTAGAAAACCTAGTTGGTGTCTGTAGAGAAATGGAGAATTGCTTGGTATGAAAACCCTCCATGTATTTGATGTCAGAAGTGTTGTGAGTAGAAACAATTGAGAACTATCAAAACCTAAATTTATTTGTGTGTGTGTGTGTGTGTGTGTGTGTGTGTGTGTGTATATATATATATATATATATACACACATATATACATATATGTATATGTATATATGTATACACACACACACACGTACATACATACATATTGATGAATTTATTTATTTAAGATTCTCAAATAATGACCTGTATGAGCTACGTTCTTTTATAAGGTAAATCTTGAGACTTTGACATTTTAATCTGTGGTAGTCATCCATAATGCTATAATGTATATATTTATTAAAGAGGATTTAAGCAATTTCTTGGATTTTTGTTTTGGGGCATAAAAAACATGATCTTATGTAAAATTTAAAAAACTTATAAAATTCCATGTGGTTATTGTGACTGAGAATTGGTCTTAAAACTAAATAAATATATGCTTGATATGAACTTTAGCCCTCTTCCAACTAGTTGTTCGTTTGTACACGTCCATTAACATAAAAGTCCCTGGCCCTCTGCTGATCAGAATACACATAGTTGATAGTAAATGAGAGGCGAGGGAAGTCTCATATCTTGACAAATATATTTTTAAAAATTTAAGACACTTATTGTTTTTGTTTTGGTTCCTTAAGGAGTATTTAGCCCCCGTACTCCTTAATAGTTATATAGTTACCAGTAATTAGTTTGTTAGTTTGATTTTTGCTATGTTTGATATAAAAACTTTTAAAATTAAGATTAGGTTTTATACAGAGCAAATCTTGACTGATGAACACTATATTCAACAATTAAACAAATCTAAATACATTTTAATAAATTGGCTTACTTGATCATAAGTAGATAATTAATAACTCTTCATCCTTCTAAAGAATTCCACCAAACTTTATGTGATTACATATTTATATAATGTGTGGCACATGGAAGAAGAAAACAACTTGAAGAGCATACATTTTACTTACCATCTGTTATGTGAAAGTATATTTGGTTGCCATTGAATGTCATTTTCAAATCCATAAATCTGCTCGTTCTTTAAGCTTAATGGAGGCTATATTGTGTAACTAAAAAGTCAATTATTATGTTAGTTGTTCTTTACCTACTAATACATACAGATATAATTTATGCAGGTACCTCAGATTAAGCAACATTAGAAAGGGCTTGGGAAGATTGAATGAGTTGCACGTATGTTATCTCATTCACTGTATTTAATTTTTTTCTAATTGAGCATGTGGAACATGGTAAAGTGGAAATTATAGTAAAGTCAGTTTTGAAAAGTCTTTGTAAAGACTCTATTGGAAATTGGAAGT